TTGACTTCAGCACTGCTTTCCTGCAGGGTAGCCTGCACGAGGAGATCTGGCTGCGCCGTCCACCTGGCTTCACTGGGACTTTCCCTCCTGGCACCCAGTGGAGCCTCCGACGGCCAGTCTACGGTCTCTGCCAGGCACCGCGCGAGTGGCACGACAAACTGAGGACTACGCTTGCGGCTCTTGGGTTTGCTCCCTCTACTACTGACCCGTCGCTGTTTCTACGCACCGACACCTCTTTGCCACCGTTCTACATCCTCGTGTACGTCGACGACTTGGTCTTTGCCACTGCTGGACTCGCCCACGTGAAGTCCGAGCTGCAGAAGAGACACACATGCACAGACCTGGGTGAACTGCGCAGCTACCTTGGCTTGCAGATCACCCGGGACAGAGCACGCCGCACCATTACCCTGACTCAGTCACACATGGTGCAGCAGGTCCTTCAGCGCTTTGGCTTCACGTACTCCTCGCCTCAGTCCACTCCTCTGCCTACTCGCCACTCGCTCCCAGCTCTGCCTTCGGATGAGTCCGTAGAGCCGAGTGGCCCGTACCCAGAGCTTGTTGGATGCCTCATGTACCTGATGACCTGCACACGACCTGACCTTGCATACCCTCTTAGCATTCTTACACGCTATGTTGCTCCTGGGAGACACAGACCAGAGCACATGGCTGCAGCGAAGAGGGTTTTGCGCTACTTGTGCAGTACGTCGGGCATGGGGCTAGTGCTTGGAGGGCAGAGTCCAGTGGTCCTCACTGGGCACGCAGACGCTTCTTGGGCTGACGACCAGGCTACGCAGCGGTCGTCACAGGGTTACACCTTCAGCCTTGGTTCCGGCTCTGTTTCGTGGCGGGCTACTCGCTCGTCTTCTGTGCTCGGCTCCAGTTGTGAGGCCGAGATCTACGCCGGGGCCATGGCTGCACATGAGCTTCGCTGGCTCACCTACCTGCTGACCGACCTTGGAGAGCCGCCTCATTCTCCTCCAGTCCTGTACGTAGACAACAAGGCCATACTGGCCTTGTGTCGAGAGCAGAGACTGGAGCACAGAACAAAGCACATTGCTCTTCGCTACTTCCTTGCTCGTGAGCTACAGCAGCGTGGTCAGTTGCGGCTTGCGTACGTGGCATGTGAGGCCAACACTGCTGATGTTTTCACCAAGGCACTTGCGCCTTGTGATCATCAGCGCTTCTGTACTCAGCTTGGTCTTGTGCCTGTCTTGCCTCACTTGCTCACTTCTTGACCTTGCTTGTACTGTCACATATATATACACCTGCTCTTGTTTGCTTAGCCTCTTATATATATATATGTGCTCCTGCATGTGAACTGGCCTTCTGGCCTTGAACTTGTGCTCGGAATGTGTGGTGACTTTGTGATCCACCTTGAGCTTTGCTTTGCTTTGCTTGACTGGTCTTGTGACCCCTTGTTCTCCCCCACTTTGCCTATGGGGGTGTGTCAAATTATAATGTTGTCTAGGCTTTAGTGGGGTAGCCCATATGGGGTACACATTTCTAGGGTTGCATATTTGTATCACTTTCATTCCATAGTCATTCCATTCTCGTTCTAATTTCCTCAGAATATATAGCGAAACTACGGTGGTAACGGTAATGGACTGTGGTTGTCGCGCGACGGGCCTGGGACTGAGGTCGGGGAAAGTGTTGAAGCGGAGGCCCGGAGCGCGGGTTACCCGCCGAGCCGTGAGGTCGGGGTGCGACGTGCGAAGGTGGCGGGAGGATTGTCGATGCGAGGGTTGCGAGTGGTAACGGTGCTGACTGTGGTGCTACAGTGGTATACGCGCTGAGCGGGGACGCGAAGTAAGGAAAAGGGAATTTTCCTTACACATGTACTGATCTGAATGTACCGCACCAGTTCGGTACAGGGTTCCACCTTCGGTGAAATGAGATGAGGGACACAACAGTGATGTTCGCCAGCACATCGATTCTTGAACAGAAAACGATGGCATCGACATCGCGACCGCAGATGGAAACGGGGGTGGAACCCTCCTCCGAGGTTTGGGCGTAATGCCGCCCGAGAAACTTCGCACACACGAAAGGGGAAATTACGCAACTGCGCCAGGAAGGTCCATCCCCACCTTCCCCCCTGTGGCGCGAAAGTTTAGCCTCACTGACCCTTGTGCTGCCCGCTGGCCAAAATTTGCTCAGCGTGGGTAAAAAACGCAAATAAAACACCCCCTGCTCAAACACAACCCCCGCCACCTCGTGCTCACGACCAAGTTATGTGCGGGGGGCATTTCGAAGGTGTGTTTGGGATGGAAAAATGGGGGGTACACGAACCCCCCTTTGTCAAAATGCAGGCTTGTTCAAGGGTTCCCCTGTCAAGAATCTAGCGTGAGTTTGGCTTAGGAGCCATAGTTGGGAGTGACTTAGTTCGAGTTGAAGGGTTGAAGGAAAAGTATCGAGAGAGTTGAGAAGGAGAAAAAGTGTTTCAATAATAGAAGGCATACAAGATATAGTCAAGGAAATGGGCAGATGGTGCACCACCAAGCAAGAAACTAATAACTACACTAAACTCTACTGTAGGCATTTATAAATGTATACGAATACATTTCAACACACCCCCTAAATGCCTACAGCTAGAATCGTGTGCAGTACACCTCCTGCAGAGGTACACCAAGTGCAAAGAAAGCAGCAACAACAGACAAGGTAATAGAGCAGGTACAGTAGCAAAGGGGCAGGCACTCCTGCCACCCCTTTACTCTCCTCCCCCCCTCCCCACGAGGGATGGGGGGTGGTTGGTCTCACACCCGCCACTCCAATCCCAATGCCACTCCCCTGGCTCCCCCACACCCTCACACCCTTCCCCCCAGCGACAGCTGCAGGAGTGGGAACGAAAGGAGGAGGAGGGGAAGGGAAACACACCACCCATCACCCCCACACCTGCCACCCCCAGACCCTCCCCCCCGCAGCTGCAGGGAGACGAAGGAGAAGAGGGGGGGAGGGGGGGCCGACGCACGGCCTCCCTGGGCGCCAAAGCAGGCGGCAGAGGGGGCGACGCTTGCCCCCCCCTCAGGTCGCCTCGACAGGTGACGGGAAAAGGGGAGGGGGCGGTGCACGTGCCCCCGGTGTGCCGCGGCTGGTGACGGGGCATGGCCGGGGCGGGGTCGGGGCCGCAAGTGGCGGCGACGGGGCCGCTGGCGGCGGCGACGGGGCCGCTGGCGGCGGCGACGGGGCCGATGGAGGCGGCGACGACGGGGCCGATGAAGAGCGGCGACGGGTCCGCGGAAGGGCGGCGACGGGACCGCGAAGGGGCCGCGAGGGGCCTGAAAGGGCGGCAACGGGGCCGCTAAGAGAAAGTTAAGGGGCATGCCACGGGGCGTGCCGAACATAGAGTAGCAGCGGAAGCAGTAGGGCGGGCCCACAGGTCAGGACCGTAATCGCTCTGATACCATGTCAAGAATCTAGCGTGAGTTTGGCTTAGGAGCCATAGTTGGGAGTGACTTAGTTCGAGTTGAAGGGTTGAAGGAAAAGTATCGAGAGAGTTGAGAAGGAGAAAAAGTGTTTCAATAATAGAAGGCATACAAGATATAGTCAAGGAAATGGGCAAATGGTGCACCACCAAGCAGGAAACTAATAACTACACTAAACTTTACTGTATGCATTTATAAATGTATACGAATACATTTCAACATCCCCTCTGAACAGCAATGCGTCGGCTGTGCCACCGCTGTCCTTTGAAAAACGCGACATGATGATGGCATGGCTAGGGGATGGTATTTTGCCTTTGGGACGAAGTTTAGCCCCGCTTCCATATGCCGTCGAAACGTTAGAATTGGTGGACAAAAGTGGGCGTTCGCCAGACGCCCAGTTTGTTTGTTGGTTTGGATGGTAGGTGAGGCTCGGCACTTTTTTCACGGGCTGACCCGGCTGACGGAGGTAAACGAACTCTAACTGACGGGATCAGGAAGGCGAGAGGAACATTCCTGATCCCGTCGTTATCCCGTTGTTTTTTGCTATAATGGTGCTGGTGAACAGCCCCAACAGATGGGGTGGGGAGAGTGGTAGTAGCCTAGACTGTTGCAACCACCGTAAACCAGGCATTGGTCCAGGAGAGCCGACACGCATTGGCAGGCAGAAATGTCACATGCTATAGTAGACAGGCAACAGCCCTAGCCCTCGCAATCCTATGCCAGTTTGCTTGCAATCGATGTTGCAATTTCGCCGCACTGCTTGGCCTTCGATATAAGAAGCAGAAGAAAACCGTGGACGATTAAGGGTGGGTGATGTCGTGAGTGAGCTCATTGGCGGGGCGGTTCCTCCTACCTAGCCTTGCGCACTGCTTCAGTCAGCAACATTTCCGCGTTCGAGCTGATGCGACTCGGATCTAGCAGTCGCAACCACTTCGCCGCCAACTAACCTCTCGGCGACACATGACATGATTCGTACTGCCCGCCTCTTTACACCACACTGTACACTCGTCACCCTCCCACCGAGAAATCGTGCTTGTTTTCCAGATCTCCCTAGCAGGGTTTTTTCCTACCCGGCCAACCTCCTACTGTACACACCGACATGCACAGGGAAGCCAGGTCACCCGAAAAGACAACCCAGACCTTGGTGCTGCCCACCCCTTGGTCCTGCCAAACCCTGGTTTTGCCCAGCCCTTGGTTTTGCCCAGCCCTTGGTTTTGCGTGGCGCATGGTTGTTGAGTTGGAACATGAAGGCAATCGTGCGAACATAGCACACTCCACTTCACAGTCACAATCTCGCTGACTTTCAACTATCCCTCGACTAGGTGTTTCAACTTTCAAGCACACGAGGGAGCTATCCGCCGCAGCACGCTTGAATTTCACATTTCCGATTGGCGCAGGTTGCATTGTATCTCAAGCCTCCGCCGCCGCACGGCGTCGTCATCGCGTGAAGCCGCCACGGCTACTTCTCCGTTGTTTCGCGCCCACTTGCTCGATAGACTACGAAGCTTGTGCGATCACGTTGCGCGATAGCGTGTGCGCCAGGCTGGACCCGCGCGCCCTTATTTTGAATCGCGAATCGCGATGACGTGCGTTCGACGATTCTCGGCTCGCGACAGATATTTTATTGGCCTGCTTCTGGTACGTCGGCCATCGTCAACGTCTGCGTCAATGTAAACGTCAACGTCGTCGCTAACTGCAAATTGACTTGTCTCTGGCCCGTTTCTAAAGTCTTCCGCTTTCGCAGCTGGCTTCTCCTCGCTTCTCGCGCCAATTCGTCTCCCGCGCCATCCCGCGCGCTACTTTCGCTCCCCTTCCCCCCCTCTCTCCCCCTCCTCCCCCCTCCTCCCCCCCCCCAACCTCTACGATTCTGTCTCCCCGCGCCATCCTATCTCCCCATCCCGCTTGCGAACGTGGGCCCGTATACTGCTGTTTCTCTCGCCGTCTCCCAAGGTCCCGTCGCCTCCTTGCCCTTGCGAAGTGGTAAATGAATCCCGTTCCTCCGCTCACATTCTCACGCCACCCCCTTCTCCTCCTCGCTGCAGGTGGTAACATTCGCCTGCGCTTTCGCCGACGCGTTCAACACGACCGGCCTCTCGCCAAACCCGATTTCATTCAAGCTCCCGTCGGGAATCACCAAGATCCGCGATATTATCGACGACGCGCTCAACCCCGACAAGGACACGTACAACGGCAACGTCTCGACCGCGGGCCGATGGGGGCAGGCGATCCGGTCGGGATGCTCAACGACGTGCAAGACGTCGTCGAGCAAGTGGGAGTGCGGCGTGATGCACGAGCCAATCAACGTGTATCTCATCTGGTTCGGGCGGTTCAAGGAGAGCCAGAAGAATATTATCCGCAACTTTGTGCGCTCGATTGGCGACACCACTGACCCCTTGAACACGGGTGAGTGTGGTAACCGCCTGGGAACTCCTGAGTTGATTCGAATGTCGCTTCTGCGATAGCAGTTACTCGTCAGCAGCGCTGTGTGCTCGGCTGGTCCGGCCATCGCGGGAGAGGGAATGGGAGAAGAGGGGAAGAGGGGAAGGGAGGGGAGATATACGGGGTTGGCCTGTTCATCAGAGTCGATAGCGCTTGTAACGAGCACCCTGGATCCGGTTTCAGCCTCGTCTCGCGCATCGCCTCATTTTCCCAAACTCTTCCCTTCTCGCCCTGGCTCCGCAGATTTCCCCATTTCCACCTCCTCCACTCTTTACCCCCTCTCAGTACACGGAATGGCAACCCTGCTTCCCTTTCGTTAGCGTCTTCCTTTTCTGCCATTCCCCTTTCGCACCCACCCCGCCCCCCAGTCTCCCATGGGTGGAACATCAATCGCCTGTACAATGACTGCAACCGTTACCCTGTTTCCACCTCCTTCCCATCATCCCATCCCTCTCCCTTCCCCTTTCCCTCACCCTCCCTCTCAGTCTCCCAGTGGCGGAACATCAACCGCCTGTGCACGGATTGCAGTGGTAACCGTGTGTCTGCATCTTTCCCCACTCATTCCCTCTCCTTGCCTGTTTATCAACCCTTTCCCCTCCCCTTCACCCTCTTCTCTCAGTCTCGCAATGGTGGAACATCAACCGCCTGTGCAAGGACTGCTGTCAATACCTTGCTTCCGCTTCCTTCTCATCCATCTCCCTTCCCTTTTCTCTCACCATCCCTCTCAGTCTCCCAATGGTGGAACATCAACCGCCTGTGCAAAGACTGCTATCAATACCTTGCTTCCTCTTCCTTCTCATCCATCTCCCTTCCCTTTTCTCTCACCATCCCTCTCAGTCTCCCAATGGTGGAACATCAACCGCCTGTACACGGATTGCAGCGGTAGACCTGTTTCTCAGGAGGTGAAACTAGCAGGCGACCACCATTTAAAGCCGCGCATGCGCTTCCTCTTCAGCAACCTGGCTATCACCTCGGTAGTCAGACGCGCTCTCAGCGCCAAGGCGTTCCCTACCGACCCGAATGGGGTTTACTTCGTGATCACTGATAGAGGCACAAAGCAGGTGGGTGGCTTGTTAAATGACTTTTGCGAATGACCCGAACTGGGTGTGAAACTGCCAGCACGAACTTTTGTTAGAAATCCCCGTGGTCATGCCCTTCTCTTCCACTCTTACTCACTTCCTCTGCCTCTTCTGCTATTGCTTCCTCTTTCCCCTTCTCTTTCTCTCCCTCGCTTCCTCCTCTCCTGACCAGCAATTGCTGCTAGGCGGCTTCTCCTCGCCTACTGTGGTTGACACTAGTATGACAAAATCAAGACTCATGCCCCTCTCCCTCCCTCTCTCCCGCTCCTCCTTCTCCCTCTCTCCCACTCCCTCCCCTGTGACCAGCAATCGTTGCTAGGCGGCTTCTGCTCGGCCTACTGTGGCTGGCATTCATACGACAGCATCAGGAACCATGCTCTCAAGCTCGCCTTCATTGGGCATCCAGGAAGGGTGAGTTTTAAAGAGCGCGTTGAGTAAATTTATTCAAGTACAGATTCCACTCGTGCTGCGGCTGGCATTCATACGGCAACATCAAGTATCATGCCCTCCAGGCCGCCTTCACTCACCTTCAATAGCCATGCAGGAAATTTGAGTGACCTCAAGCATGAGAGCATCAGACGAAAGGAGATTTCCTCTGGGTCATGGACGCCATGGTCTCAATTCTCGCGGATGAGCTCTCTGAGGCCACCTCTGACTTTTCCTTCCTCTCCCCCGATCCCCTTCCTCTCCCCAGTGCCTGCGGCCCTGTGCGACCACATCCACCTCCTGCAAGAGACGCAGCAGCCCCAATGGTGATCGAGCAATGGATGCCATGGTCTCCATTCTGGCCCACAAGCTGCCCACGGCCACCTCTGGTTTACCTCTCCCAATCCCTGCCCCATCCCTAAGTGCCTGCAGTCGTGTGCAGCCCGGTCCATCTCGCGCAAAGGAGGCAGCAGTGTCAACAGAGATAGAGCACCGAGCAATGGATGCCATGGATGCCATGGTCGCCATGGTCGCCATGGTCGCCATGGACTCCTTCCTCTGACTCTCGTTGACCCCACGAGCTCGTTGAGGCTGCCTCTCACTCTCCTCTCCCTCCCATGCCCGCCTCTTCCCCCTCTCCTCCAACCCCTGTCCCCTCCCTCTCCTACCACCCTCAGTGCCTCCGGGCGTGTGCAGCCCCCTCCATCTCGCGAAAGGGCGGCAGGAGTCCCAACGGTGACAGGGCAATGGACGCCATGGTCTCCATCCTCGCCCACGAGCTCGCCGAGGCCACCTCTGACCCGTACCTGGGCACGTGGACTGACTCCAGTGGCATGGAGAATGCTGACATCTGTGCCTGGAGGTGAGCTGCATTGAAGTGCCCCTGAGCTTGCAGAGGCTGCCTCTGACCCATGCGTGGGCACATGGGCCGTATCTGGGCACGTGAACGATGCCACTGGCATGGAGAACGCTGTATCTGCGCCTGGAGGTGAGGTTTGGTGTGTTGTGTGGAGGGTTTATTGGTGTGCTGCTGCGATCTGTGGTGGGCACATGGGCCATACCTGATACTAGTGGCTTGGAGAATGCAAATATCTGCGCTTGGATGTCAGGTCTTGTGTGTTGGGTACATTGCTGTGGGGCAGAGGTGGCCCTGACCGTTCTCCCTTCCCCCAGCTATGGCACAGCGGGTACAAGAGACGGTCGAGCAGATTACAATGTCGTGGGGCTTGATGGCACCGTTCCCTCTATGCCTCGCCCACTTCCCCTCTCCTACTCCCACTCACATCCCTCCCTCTTGCCCCACCCTGAATTCCTTCCCCAATGAATCAGCTGAGGCACCGTGGAAAGAGTAGCCAGTGGAGCGGAGCACAACCTGGTGGGGCTGGGTGCCACCGTTCCCTCTATATGCCTTGGCCCCTTCTCCTCTCCTACTCGCTCTCACCTCCCTCCCTTCTGCCTGCCTTCTCTCTCTTCCCGCCCCCATGAGCCAGCTATGGCACAGTGGAAACAACGTCTGCTGGAGCGGAGTACAACCTGGTGGGGCTGAATGGGATGAAGTTCCTCGTGCAGCAGAACTACCACCCGACTCTAAAGACCTGCCTGGTTACCACCACAGTGTAGCATGGTTACACTGCAATACAGCAGCTTTACAGTAACCAATAAAAAATCCTTTGGTTGCTATTAAACATTTGGAGCTCTTCTCAAGCTCCTGCCCCTTATTTATTGGTATTTATCAATCATTAGGAGCTTATATTGAGCTCCTGCCTACCCGTGTTGCATTTGGAAGGTGATGTTTTATCGAGAAAAAGTTGTGCCTTTTTCTCAAGAGAAGAACAACTTTGTCAAATGTAATATCAGTTCATTAGGCTACAATGAGTAGCACCATAGGGAGTACAATCCTTTTATGGTTGCTATTTGCATGCCTTGGTTCTAACTCACACGTCACTCTGCTGTTAGGGCGCGTGTAAATTGATTTCAGGTTCATGACACAGCTCACACTGAATAGGGTTATCAGCCTTTTGTCAAAACATATTTCTGTTTATTTCACTCTAGGTTGTGTAGGGGTCATTCCTTAGAGGGTACAACCCATTTCTCTCGATAGTCTTGTACCCCTCTCCCTTACCTAATCGACATTTGATTCCTAGTTCAGTTCTTGACATGTTATCAGAGTAGGAACCGTTCCTACGTGGGCCCACCGTTCCGCCTAGTGGTAGCGCCACGCCCTACACAGTAGCCAGCGCGCTGGCGCCCCCACTCTCACTGTCGCGACCCTTCCTAAACGGCCCGCGCGGCCATACGTTTTTTCTCTCACGGTCGCGACCCCTCCTGACCGCGCCCTAGCTGCTCCGTGCGCCACTCGCGCGGCCTGTCAGCCCCTGCGCGCGTCACTCGCGCTGCCCGCCAGCCCCTAGCGCGTACCTGCTGCGCACCCCTTTTGAGCTGCCCCGCGCGCACCTGTTGCACGCCCCTGGCTTGCAAGCCCACAGCCCGAGCGCGTCTACTGCTGCTGAGCGCCGGCTGCTGCTGCTACGTGGCGCTGCTGCTCCGCCACTGAGCCCGAGCCGCGCCGCCCAGCCCGAGCTGTAACTGCTGCTGCTACTGCAACTGTACTGCTGCTACAGCTACTGCTACTACTGCTGCTGCTACTACTGCACTTGCTACAGCTGCTACTGCTACTACTGCTATGGCTAACCTGTCAGTTCTTACGTTCGATGCTGAGGGCCGCGCGATTACCTTTGATGTCTGGCTCGACGATCTCCAACTGATCCTGCAGAGCGAGTCTAAGGATGGTATTTCCCTGTTTTTGCACACTGAGGGAAAGCTCCCAGCCTCTGCTGCGACCGCTGTTGAGGATCTGTCTAAGTGGCTCATGCGTGATGTAGCTGCCCGCCTTGCTGTCCGCAACCACCTGCCCGTCACTGAGTGCGCGCACTTTAGCCATCAGAAAACGGCCAAGGATCCCTATGACGCTGTCGTTGCTCGCTACTCCTCCCCAGCTACTGCTGCTGTAGGCCGTCTCATGCTGCCGTACCTGCATCCTGATCTAGCTGAGTTCCGCACTGTCTCTGACCTCTTTACCCACCTCCGCTCTAGTGAGGATCGCTTCCGTGCTACTCTCAAGCCGGCCTTTCTCGCTAAGAACCCCCCCTCGCAGTACTTCACCCTGTACTTTCTTGTCACTCGCCTCCCTGACTCCCTTCGCACTGTCAGGGACCAGTTCCTAGCCCTTGACCTCACTGAGCTCACACTTGACTCGCTTGAGAAGTCCCTTCTTGAGGCTGAGAAGAGCACTGTAGCTGTCGCTGCCTCTCGTGGCACTCCCGGCTCCCCCTTCTTTGTAGGGTGTACTCCCTCCCCTCTCCTCCCCTCAGTTGCTACCGCTGCTGTAGTCGACCTCCTTGGTGCTGAGGAAGTTGGCAGTGCGTCTGCTCCCAGTGGACGGTGCACCAACAGCAAGGGTAGAGGGGGCAGGGGTGGTGGTGGTGGCAGCAACGGAGGGGGTGGGGGGGGGTGGTGGGGGGGGTGGCGGAGGCTGTGGGGGTGGCTCTGGGGGTGGCGGCAGTGGAGGCAGACAGGGTGGAGGAGGCGGCGGTGGTGGGGGAGGCGGTTGGGGTAGCACGGGCGGCGGAGGAGGTCGGGGTGGGTCTGGTAGGGGTGGTGGCGCTCGTGGACCCTCCCGTGGCTATGGGAGTGGTCAGCAGCTGCCGCGCCTCCCGGACAACCCCACCGACCAGTAGCTCCGTGAGTGGGTTCTCCAGCGTGGGGGCTCTGGGGGCTCTGGTCGCTGCCCTTATGTCCGGCGCACGGGGCCTCTGAAGGGCACGGTCTGCGGGAAGCCGCACACTGAGTACAAGTGCTTCGGCCGTCTTGAGGATGTCTGGGTGGCTGAGTACACCGAGGACCAGCAGGTGCCAAACTGGCTGCAGCTGATGGGGAAGGGGGTAGATGTGTTTGCTCTTGACTTTGCTAAGATCAATGCTGCTCTCTATGCCATGTATGTTGCTGATTATAGTGTTGAGGGTGCGTGTTACTCGTGTGTACCGTGCGATGCTGGTGGTGATGCTGCTCCTCCACGCGCTAGTGAGTCTGCTGCCGCCCTAGATGCTAGTGTCGCTACTGCCCTAGGTGCTAGTGAGTCTACTGCTACTGCTGAGGTCTTCACACTTCACGCTTGACTCTGGTGCGTCCCGTTGCTTCTTTCACGACTGCACCACTGTCACCCCACTCACTACACCAGTCCCACTCTCCCTGGCGGACCCCTCTGGGGGCCCGGTGGTTGCATGCCACTCCACTGTCCTCCCGTGCCAAGCTGTCCCCTCTGGCTCTCTGTCAGGTCTCGACGAACCTGGTGAGCAACGCCATCCTCCAGGATGTATGGGTTGACACCTTTACTCCTGGAGGTCAGCGTGTGGCGATCTGAACATGCGCCAAGACAGGCCGTCACCTGGCTACGTTCACACGGAAGCCAGGGTCGAACCTATACACACTCACCACAACGTCTGCACAGGTAGCTGCGTCTGGTCAGGTGGCTGCGTCTGGTCAGCTCGATGCGTCCTGCTCATGTCGCCTCCTCACCCACCCTGCTCAGCTTTGGCACCACCGTCTTGGTCACCCTTCACAGCTGCGTCTGCGCAGCATGCACTCCTGGCTCCTGGTCTCTGGCCTCCCTACGACCCTGCCCCCCCTCCCGCGCTCGCTTGTGCCGCCGTGCCTTCCTTGTGTCGAGGGGCGGCAGCGCGCTGCTCCTCACTCCTCCGAGTTTCCTCCGACCATTGCTCCTCTGCAGGCTCTCCATCTGGACGTGTGGGGCCCGACCCCCGTCGGTGGAACGGACCTGGAGCGCTACTTCCTGCTGGTTGTTGATGACTACACACGCTACACCCCCGTCTTCCCCTTGCGGCGCAAGGAGGATGTTAGTGGTGTCTTGATCCCCTGGATCCGTGCTACTCGTCACCAGCTGCGCGAGCGGTTTCGGCGGGACTTTCCAGTCCTGCGTCTGCACTCTCACAGGGGTGGTGAGTTCTCCTCTGGTGTCTTTGAGACATTCTGCCAAGATGAGGGCATTGCCCAGTCATTCACGCTTCCGACCTCTCCGCAGCAAAATGGGATAGCTGAGCATCGCATTGGCCTGATCATGGAGGTTGCTTGTACCTCCATGATCCATGCGGCTGCTCCCCATTTCCTGTGGCCGTTTGCGTTCCGATACGCCGCGCATCAACTCAACCTCTGGCCCCGTGTCTCTGCTCCAGAGATCTTGCCCACACTCCGTTGGACGGGATAGCCTGGTGATGCGTCGTCGTTTCGGGTCTGGGGCGCGCTCTCCCTTGTTCGCGATACCAAAGCGAGCAAGCTCTCTCCTCGCACTCTCCGCTGTGTCTTCCTGGGCTTCCCCACCGACGCTCCACCCTCGCAGTTCTACCACCCTGCCTTGCGTCGTGTTCTGTCCTCTCAGGACGTCACCTTCGACGAGTCGGTCTGTTACTACCAACTTCACCCGCACGCGTCCCACCCGGTCCTTCTCGCACCTCTCTTCCTGGTACCAGTCCCCCCCCCGGTAGAACCCCTTCCCCCACAGGGTCCTGCTCCCTCAGGTGTGTCCCAGGTAGACCCACCCCCCTTGGATGAGCCAGTTGAGATCTCTTCTGACTCCTCTGACTCACCTGAGGGGGGTGACGCCGTCGCCGACGACACGGCGACCACTCGCCGCACTCCTCGCTTGGAGACCCCCCCGGGTTTCCCGCCATGGCCATCTTCGCCGCCTCCACAGCCTGCTGCTGTGGACTCTAGAGCTGAGACTACTGGAGCTGGGCCTGGGGGTGGTGGGTCTGGGGATGCCCGCTCTCCTTGTTTGGCTACCCCCCCCGGGTCCCCACCTCTGCCGTCTTCGCCGCCTCTGCAACCTACTGCTGTGGACATTGGAGCAGAGACTGAGGGTGCTGGGACCGAGGGTACAGGGACTGAGGGCACTGAGCCTGAGGGTGCTGGGACTGAGGGTATAGGGACTGAGGGCACTGAGCGTGAGGGTGCTGGGACTGAGCGTGCTTAGACCGAGGGTCCTGACTCTGGGGGTGCTGCGACTTCGGGTGCTGACTCTGGGGGTGCTGCGAGCCCTTCTGGTGTTGGTGTAGTTGGAGGTCCTACGGGAGGACCTGGAGCTATTGGTGCTGGAGGTACTGGAGGTGCTGCTGGTACTGGAGGTCATGGAGCTGCTGGTACTGGAGGTCGTGGAGGTGCTGGTGCTGGAGGTGCTGGAGGTGCTAGAGGTGCTGGAGCTGGAGGTGCTGGAGGCGCTGAAGCTGCTGAGGCTGGAGGTGCTAGAGGTGCTGGAGGTGCTGGAGGTGCTGGAGGTCCTAGTGGAGCTACTGGTGCTCTTCGCCACCTTCTCAGTCTTCAGCCAGGTGCTACTGGCTTCCCTGTGACAGGTACTACTCCGTTGCTGTGTCCACCGGCGGACCAGTCACAGCCGCCGCTGCTACTGCACTCCCCACTGCCTGCTCCTGCTCCTTACACTGCGGTGACACAGTCCCTGACTGAGCGTCGAGAGCCTGAGACTCGTGCTTCCACCCCTGAGCATCGAGAGCCTGAGTCTAGCTTTGAACTTGAGCCTGAGCCTAGAGCCG